GTTTAAGGGTAAATATGTCCATTTAACATTTCAGGGGGAAAAACAGCCACTTCAATAATTTAGGGGGAAAAAATGCTATAGGTATATAACTCAGAGGGAAAAAGTGCCATTTTCCCTAATAATAATAAGTGTGTGTTTGAATCCCATTAAGAATTTTAGTCATTAAGAAATCCTAACAAATCATAATGGACGAAGATCCCTTGTGCATAAAATGTACAGAAGTGAAAATAAAAAACTGACAAGGAAACTCATAATTTACCTCTTCTAGCAACTTGTGGTTTAATAATACAATTATAAATATTCTAAATGGAATGTCATAGGTTCAAATTGCATCCTAATCAATGATGTTGGCCTAATCATTGTTCATGTTGAGCAGAAACTATAGATAAATTAGATTTTAATTATAAAAAAAAAATAATTAGTCAAGCGTAAGTTAGGATTGTTAATGTATCAACAACAACAAAGACAATAATAATAATGGGGTCACCTATATTAATTTTATTAAATAATGAAAATAAAAGGAAAAAGATATATTTTATATTTTGATAAATTAAAGCATATTAGATCAATTAGAAGTTAAAGTTAGTGTCAAACACCTTATGCTCAGATGACATTTAGTGACCTCTCCTATATAGAAGGTTATGAGATTGAGTCACAATAAAGATGTTGTTGACTCTTTGTGCTTCATTAGGTTGAGAAAGCTATAATGTAATAGAGTCAGTAGCATTCAAAAAAGTTAGTATACAGATAACAAAATACTTGTTTTAAAAAATAGTCCATACATTTTCATATAAGTCTAATTTTCATAAAAGTCAGACCATATATATTACTCCATATATCAATTTAAATTTTTAATTAATTTTCCTTAACAATCTATTTTTTTTTTCATTTTGAAAAATAAATGATTGTTTTTTTTTTTTTGTGAGATAAATGATTGCTTAATGGTTTACCGTCTCGCTAAGAAAACTAGGACGCTGACGTGGTGGTCTTTCGGCAATGATTTCCGGTCAAAAGAAAGATTTTTCACTGAGGGGCAGCTCATTATAGCCGTTACACTTTCATAAATGCATCGACTTTTCCGGCAAATATGAAGACAAAATAGTATCGCCACTACACGCATCGATACTCACCTATTCCTCGTGTACAGTGCCATTTCATTTTTATAAACTTTAATCCCAACAGAAATAATCAATTGATTTATTTTCTCGAAAATTATCTTTTCGGTTAAAATTTGGATAAATACTCGAGAAATGCCATTTTAAAAATATTAATCTGTAAAATTAAAAAGTACTAAATAGCTCAAATGACAAATGAATTTCTTTGTGAGAACGATGTCAACTCTTGTGTCTTTTTGAGTGAATGAAAATTAATTGAGTGGACCCAAACCATAAGACGAACTGAATTAGCTTTGAGTGAATGGATATTAATTAGGTGAATCCAGACCATAAGACAGATCAAAATAGCTCATAACACTTTTATTATTCAAAAATTGATTGAGTGAATGAAGCAAGATTCTTATATCATATTATCTAGATTGAGCCAGTCATATGTTAAAAAATAAGTTTATATATATATATATATAAAAAGTCTTTATAAGTAACGCACATTTACAAAAAAAAATTATTACTGCCATCTTTAAATTTTATATTAGTGTCCTCAGTAACTAGTCATGCTTTGTCCCCCGACACCGGTCTTTATCTCCTTCTATATCCTCTCTGACAGACCCGTTTTTCCCATATACCCGACCCACTTTCCTCTGTTACTATTGTTATAAATCAAACGTTTTTATGCTCTTCTCTTCTGGAGCTCTAATTTGATCTGCAATGGCTTCTCTTCTATCATTATTCTCCGCCATTGCCGTTTGCCTTCTTTTCCTTCAACCATGCCTTGCTTCAAAGAAAACATACATCGTACACATGAAGCATCATGCGAAACCTTCTTCGTTTTTAACCCACCAACAGTGGTACGCCGCCAACCTTCAATCCCTTTCTTCTTCGTCTGATTCGCTTCTGTACACTTATGACACCGCCTATCACGGATTCGCCGCCGTGCTGGAGCCGGAAGAAGCGGAGCTGCTCCGCCAGTCTGAGGATGTTGTCGGAGTGTATGAGGATACGGTGTATAGTTTGCATACGACTAGAACGCCGGAGTTTCTAGGGTTGGATGTTGATCTAGGGCTTTGGGCTGGGCATGGGCGTCAGGAGCTCAACCAGGCTACTCAGGACGTTGTGATCGGCGTTTTGGATACCGGTATTTGGCCGGAGTCGAAGAGCTTTGACGACGCCGGAATGCCTGAGATTCCGGCGAGGTGGCGGGGGGAGTGTGAGTCGGGTCCGGATTTCAACCCGAAAGTGCATTGCAATAAGAAGCTTATCGGTGCTCGTTTCTTCGCCAAAGGATATCACATGGCTTCCGGTATGGTCCGGTTTAAGGAACCTGAATCGGCACGTGACCAGGACGGCCACGGCACGCACACCGCCAGCACCGCCGCGGGTTCTCCGGTGGCTAACGCCAGCCTCTTTGGTTATGCTAGTGGGGTGGCGCGTGGGATGGCTACTCACGCGCGTGTCGCCGCCTACAAGGTGTGCTGGAAGGTCGGGTGCTTCGGATCCGACATTCTCGCCGCCATGGAACAAGCTATCCACGACGGCGTCGACGTGCTTTCGTTATCGTTGGGCGGCGGCTCCGCGCCGTACTACCGCGATACCATCGCAATCGGAGCGTTTTCGGCTACGCAAAAGGGAATCTTCGTCTCATGCTCAGCCGGGAACAGCGGACCAGCGAAATCTTCGCTCACGAATACTGCGCCGTGGATCATGACAGTCGGCGCCGGTACCATAGACAGAGATTTCCCGGCGTACGCCACTCTCGGCGACGGGAGAAAATTCGCCGGAGTTTCATTGTACAGCGGAAAGGGAATGGGGAAAATGCTAACCAGTCTGGTTTACAACGCCGGAAATAACAGCTCAGCCAATTTGTGTTTACCCGGTTCGCTTGATCCAAAATTGGTTAAAGGAAAAGTGGTGGTGTGCGATAGAGGCACCAATGCTAGGGCTGAGAAGGGCATGGTGGTCCGGCGAGCCGGCGGAGTGGGGATGATAATGGCGAACACGGAGGAGAACGGGGAGGAGCTGGTGGCGGACAGCCACTTGCTGCCGGCGGTGGCCATCGGGAGGAAAATGGGGGATTTGTTAAGACAATACGTTAAGACGGCGAGGAATCCCACGGCGGTGCTCAGCTTTGGAGGGACGGTGTTGAACGTGAAACCTTCACCGGTGGTGGCGTCGTTCAGCTCCAGAGGGCCCAATATGGTGACTCCTCAGATACTGAAGCCCGATATAATTGGGCCCGGTGTAAATATCTTGGCGGCCTGGTCTCTTGCAGTTGGGCCCACTGGGCTTGATGAGGATACAAGGAAGACTCCCTTCAATATTTTGTCTGGTAAGCATCTTCTAAGCCCATTCAAAGTTGTTACATAATGAGTGTTCGATACAATTTGTATGTGCCATGCCAACTCAAGCATCGTGACCTATATCTAGACTCAAGATGGCCCCCCCCCCCCCACCCCCCACACACGCGCGCACGCGCGCACACACACACACACACATATATATATATATATATATATATATATATATATAGAAGTCCGCTCAAATGTGGTTGTACCTTTTCGTCTGATCGTTGCGGCCGCTTGAAAATGCATCAATAGTGTTAACAAAAGATATGAAAATGTACAAATACACCAAAAACGCACAATACACTCAAAATAATGCATCATAACTCTGAACATTTAGGGACACTTTTATGCATACTTAATGGTGTGTTTTTTTGGTGATGCGTATTTAATGGTGTATATTTGTGTTATACATATCCTAACATCGTTTGTACATATTTGTATAACTATTGGTGCAGTTGCACTATCCGCACCTGAATTCTGTTATATATATATAATAATGTTGTGTCAATCTAGACATGATATTCAACTGAATTGCATATGAGTCAAATCACACTATAAAGATTAAATTTAATTAATTAAACTCATATGTTTTGTTATTTTTTTTTTTAGTGTGAGAGTCTTAATATATAAATTGATGGAATTTTTGTAGGTACATCAATGTCATGCCCACATATTAGTGGGGTAGCGGCGTTGCTAAAAGCGGCACATCCCGAGTGGAGCCCGGCGGCGATCAAGTCGGCGCTCATGACGACGGCCTATGCCCGAGACAATACCAACTCTCCTCTCCGGCAGGCAGAAGATTTCGCGGTTTCAACCCCGTGGGCGTACGGTTCAGGCCATGTCGACCCGCACAAGGCCCTCTCTCCGGGCCTCGTCTACGACATCCGCCTTTCCCATTACATCAGATTCCTCTGCTCCCTAGACTACGCCGCCGAGCACATTCAGGCCGTGGTCAAGCGACCAAACATCACCTGCGACAAGAAATTCGCCGATCCCGGCCAGCTCAACTACCCTTCGTTCTCAGTACTCTTCGGGAAATCAAGAGTTGTTCGGTACACTCGAATACTAACCAACGTCGGAGCTCCGAAATCCTCATACGAAGTCGCCGTTGAAGCGCCGTCGTCTGTGGCGGTAACCGTGAAGCCGGCGAAGCTTTTCTTTAAGAATGTCGGAGACAGGTTGAGGTACACTGTTACATTTGTGTCGAAGAAGAGGGTGACGGGCAAGGATTCGTTTGGTTCCATTTCATGGAACAATGCCCAGAACCAAGTGAGGAGTCCGGTCGCTTTTACCTGGCCGGAGCTCTTTTAACTTTTAGCAGTCCGATCACGGTTGAGAATTCCGATTATCATAAAGGGTAAAAGAATGATGAATTTTATTGAGATTATTTAGATGCTGCTAGAAATTAAAGCTAATGTATTATTAGGATCGTTTTAATTATGTAATCTCATTTCCTGATGATCAGAAGATCAATTGATTCTATTTGCTTGTTAATAAAATAGTTTTTTTGTTCTACTAGAGAGGCAAAACTATATTATTCATGAAGTTCCAATAGAAGTTGATTTCAAGAACCCAAAGCTCAGAATGTACACAAGAACTACTCTCTATGTTACACAAAAACAAACAGTAATTCATCATATATGCATCTTGGGGATACTACATTTAGTTTTTTCATCATCATCATATATGGATGGATCCAAAAGTTCAAGGCCGAAACAGGAGTGATCCATCACCCACTGCAATGGTAGCCCTGACAGAAAGAAACACCAAGTAAATGGTCATAAGTCCCAAGCCTAACAGCCTGCTCGGGCGCATCCCATTTCTCGGCAGCACAACGAGGGTAAACAGAAGCGCCAGCATCAGAAATCCCAGCGTGTAATACAAGTTGTTGTCCCGTGGAATCGTGTAGGGGTCGGGTTGTTTTGACCATGCTCCCAGCATCATGGAGATGCCGAGCCCAACGAGCGTGTTGAACATTGGCCCCGCATAGGAGCCCGACATGGCGATCTGCACGCCATCTCGGTTGTTCATGGCAATGGCGACGTTGGAGATCAGGTCTCCCATCGAGTTGCCCCAAGCCAAGACGGTTAAGGCAAGGAGCGAGGGGTTGATGCCAAATATGACCCCGAATGCCACTAAGAGGGCGACTAGTTCATTTGCCACGATGTAGAACCATATGATGCTCATGAAGAACCCCCCGAAGATCCACGGGAACAAGAACTTCTCGGGTGGGCGATCGGGTTTGGTGTAGACGAACGCAAGGCCTCCCAGGACGCCACCCGAGCCAGCACCAATGATGTACACAATCTCGGCCCCGAGGGAGCCTCCCTTGTCTTGAGTGTTCCAAAGGAAGGAAAGAAGTAACGGTGCCAAGGAAGCACTCCCCACAGCATAAAACTTGGACCATCTCGTCTCATCAACTATGGGAATCGTCAACCTTCTCGTGAGCATCAATGGCAATTCGAGCAACGAGACCACCTTAGAACACGAAACCTGTGACCACTTATCATCACCACCAGGATGTTCATCATTCCAACCCCAAAAAAACTCGGGGCTCTCCCCAGGACCCACCTTCACAGCCTCGTTCGAGTAGATTGCAACATTCGAAGTCCAAAGCCAATGTGGCAACTTCTCGAGCTGTGGCGCAACATCTTTAGAATCCAACTTCTCGAGCTTCCCTTCTTTCCCCCTTTTGCTTCCATTTCCATCACTACCCGTTACTGGCAGCAATGGAGTCACGCAATCCGCTTTTGATCTCCCGAAATGCTTCCTTAGAATCTCGTTAGCAGCAACACAGACAGCATACACAACATAAATCGAGAAAAAACCCATTGCAACCCCAACACTAACCTCGCCACGAATCAGAATCATAAGCAGAGAAAAAATCACAAAAATGAAGAAACAAACATCCCTCAAGAAGCATTTCTTGTCAATCTGAACACCCTGCTCGGTAACACACAAAGCCACAGTGCCAACAACAACACAAGTCACAAACACAGCTCCCCCGAGCACACTATTCAACCCCATACCACCCGAATCATTCCCAACGAAAGCAGCAATACTCGCAAACACATCGGGGGCGCCATTCCCCAAGGGGAGCAGAGTTACCCCCGCCACAGTCGGGGGCAACCTCAACAAATTCGAGAGCTTTTCAAGACAACAACAAAAGTAATCTGCAGCAGTGTTACCCAACAAGTAGAACAAAGCAACCAACCACACTGCTAATACCAAATACCCCAAACCACTATAGTTGTTGCAATTGCAGTAGAAGAACTTGATATAATTGAAATACCCCCCAGAATCACACCCAGGGTTATCCCTCAAGTACTCACATTTGGAATCATAACCCTGATGATCATATATCCCAGTGCAAACAGGAGTCTTACTAGCACCCAAACTATCCCCACTTTTCTCATCACTGAAAAGATCAGAACTTGATGAATTATCAAGATTCTCCACAATTCTCCTCCTGGCACCCTCTTGCCTAACACCATTCTTGTTAAAACCACTTTGGGAGATCTTAATAGCAGGACGGATAGAAAAAGATTGCCTTGAAAATGAACCTTGGTGAAGAATTAAGATAATAAATACCAACCCAATAAGCCCATTGAAAATTCCACGAAACTTCCATCGAGCCTTGAATAAAAACCCATTCAAAATATCCATATTTCTCTCTCTCTTTCTTAATTATTCAAACTCTCAGATTCCCACCAGAAAGCAAAAATATATTTGTATTCAGATTTCACCCAAAGCAAAAATTTCAGGGTGAAAACCCGTTCTAATCTTCAGAGCTACAGAAATCAAGAAATGGGCATGATAAAATCGCCCCCAAAAAAAATTAAAAACTATACAATATTGCAAAATAGCCACCAAACAAAAAAAAAAAGGTTAGGTTTATACCTTAAAGACAGAGAGAGGGATTGAAGAAGCTTCGTGGTGGTTTCTTAGACAAGAAAAAAGGCGATTTTTCTTGGGATTTTTGACTTTTTGTTTTTGGCAGTGATGAAGATGAAGTTAGATACCAAACTGAGGAGAAGAAAATTTGGGAGGTGAAGAGACGCGCAGAGCGCATGAAAATGTGGTAGCGACGTTTATCGAACAGACAACCGACGATGGAGGGTTAGATACGACATTGACAATGTTAGTAAGCAGGCCAATCAGTGGCGGACACGTGAAAGTTTGTAGATTGATGATTGAAGATTCACGACAATGAATGCTGATTATATATATACGGGTTTTGATACAGTGATAAGGTACTACTATAGTTTTATACTTTTGATCGTAGAACGTTAAGGGTCATGAGAAAACGACTGTATTAATACGGAGTAATAAAAGACCTACTATTTTTATTTTGCGTTGTTTTTTCACTCAAAAAAAAAAAAAAAAACATACTATTATTCTTTTTTGACATTTGAAAATCCGTCTAGGCGCTAGGCGCCTCTAAACCGTAACAATTTTTCCCTAAACCCTCGCTTAGCGTCAAATTCGGCCGCCTAGAAACTAACTCGGCCAAGTTAACTCGTTTCCGGTCGAGTTTGTCGAGTTAACACAGTCGGCCTATATATATATATATATATATATATATATATATATATATATATATATATATATATATATATATATATATATCCCCACACATGTACATTGTTTTTTCATTTTTAGTAAGTCGCATAGTCGCCCACCTAGTGCCTACTGCAACCATGATACAAATACTCCGTACTAAGTTTTTATAATAACGAAAGAAATTCGCAACTACTATTCCAATATGTGTGCATTGTGTAAATATTGTTTTGTGACTCTAGTCGTAAAATAGCGCAAGGATGTAAACTAGTTTAAGTTGCACATAACTTATCTATTCAAATTAAGAAGATAGGTCACTCTTGTTGAGAGTCAAACTTGTAATATTAGGTCATCGGAGTTTTACTTGATTTTTGCAAAAGGAAAAAAATCAAGTAGATGATAGATGATGATTTTTACTTAATTTTTCTTCTTGCAAATCTTGATTTTAGGTGTGGTTAACATGGAGAGAGAAAAGATAAAAAGCAAAGTCATTTTTCGCGAGTCCTAGCTGCAACATGCAACATGCAAGTAATGGCAGAATTAGCAACATGACCAAAATGTCGTAACAAAAGCATATTTGTGAATCAAATGTGACACAATTAATAATTCGAAATTCAAATATAAAATAAGACAAATTTTTCTATGACAATATCTCACGACGAGTCTCAATCTAAAATTGGTCCTTACAAATTAAGTTTATAAATAAATACAAATTAACTAAAAACCATAATATAGAAGAGTCTAAACTAAATTATCATCTACAGACTCCACGTACCACTCGGTGCAAAATCTACTAATACAAAAACTGAAATTAAACATTTTGTGACAATATAAAAACTAATCTAATATTTAAACGTATCACCCATCCACCGCCTCTATTATCAATTTATCATTACTATTTTTAGAAAAATGAAATAACAAAATAAATCATCAACTGAAATACAGTTAGAACTGTTGTTTCAGTTTGGTGGTGCAATCAGATCAGAACTGTGAAGTTTCAGGTCAGAAAGCAGAAATTAACCTCCAAAATAACTACTAGCAACCGTTTGGCGGTTAGGCATTGGCGGTTTGGAACAATACTGTCGTGAATATTCTGGCATGGCCTTCAATTCGTTTGGTTTGAATCCATAGATTCATAAGCCACCTATTCTTTGTACATTGCATGATAAATGCTGATTCAATCACCCCGCCATTAAATCAAATGAATAAGACAATAGTTCTTTTTAGTACTACCGATTCTATTAAAATATAAACTGGAGTTTGAAGTCATAATTTCTCATTTGAGAGAGTCATAATATTGTTATTGAGTTACAAACTACTTTAAAATAAGAAAATAGTTTGATACCGGTCAACACATGCATTCTTAGTTACGTAATTTTATATGGTATTTTTAGTGTTGACCAATAGTTTGATATTGGTTAACACATGCATTTTTAATTAAGTCATTTCATATATGATATTTTTAGTGCAATTTACCTCTTAAATATTGTTTGCAGACTATTAAAAAAATAGAGCTTACTCAATGTATATTCCGCAATATTAGTTACGAATTTCTCTCGTCATAAAAACAATAAAAATAAAAATAAAAATCTGAAAGATAAGGAGTAGCCATGTAGATGAAGCATATTTGTAACTTTAAATCTATTGTTTATTTTATGATAAAATCATATATACAAATAGTGTTTAACGTTTAAATTAGTCAGTAAATTGAATTTATAATTTCTTTAACATTTTAAAGGATCAAAATTGTAAAAATTGAAAAAGAGAAACTAAATTTATAATAATAAATAAATAAATAAATAAACAATCTATCTATTGTATTTATAGTAATTAAAAGAATGTTTTAACTCATATTAATTTGCTGATAGTAAAACTTATAGCTTATTTTAAACCACAAATAAGATATAAACTCTGTTTAATAAACCATAGGGGGCTTAACACAATAGTTTATTTTGAAATAATATATTAAGTACTATTTCAAAATAAGTTATTAGCTTTTAACATTTTTTCTCCTTTTTATCCTTATTAATTTACAAAAATGACACTATCTAACAATTCATTAATCAAAATATTAATATCTCAGTTTACCTTTATATATTTTTTTACATTTATAATATTTTATTCAACAACTAATTTTATCAAATACTTTAATTTCAATCAGTTAATTTATTATTAGCTATTCACTTTTTAACTTTCAACGTTTAGTTAGTTTTTCAGCTAGGTGTGTCAAACAAAACCTGTGTCAATTTCTTAGTATATAAGTTTCTTAAACTTATTTGATTTAAGGGAAAATGACAATTTTATTCATTATGCTATAGAGAAATAGCTAACTCAAATTATTAAATTATAGGTTTAACTAGATTTAGTTTTTGATTTTTTCTTTTTATCAAATTGACACTTGTAGTCATTAGTGGATCATGGTTGCATAGTAGAGTTAAGACAATGTGTCAAGTATTTGAAGTGTAATGAAAAAAATAATTAAAAAAAAAAAAGAGTAATTTTTTTTATTAAATATAATTTTATCTCTTATTTATATTATTACGTGACATTTAAATTGATTATTTATGCAAAAAAATAATTAAATTTGAACAATGCTTGCCCTCCCCCTTCTTTAATGTTAAAGTATTATTCATGTGATATTCTAGATATTTTTGTAATATAATTACTAGAAAGTATGAATTATCATGAATCTTGATATTATTATATTTCTCACATGAAAAATGCATGACATTGACATTCAACTTGGGGTCGTGGGTTTATACAAATAGACAAAAAAAGACTATCAACTTTTTTTTTTTTTAGTGAAAATAATTATTTGAAATAATTATATTCCTATGCAATTCTACTACATAGACTCTCAAATTATACTCTCTAAATTTTACTTCCTAATATGGCGAACACTTTTTTCATGTAAGTTCCAATACAAGTGTCTACATCAAAATTTTGTGTGTGGGAATACAAGTAATATTTTCCGTTCCTATGTGGTCCAAAATGATTAAAGGGAGAGATAGAGTGTCTTGTTATACTATGGACCAGGTTTCACCTTGTTAGGTAGACTCGAATTCAAAATATATAATTTATATATTAAATAAATATATACATAATTTACATATTAAATATTACAATTTACATACTAAATATTTATAATTTTTTTTATAAAATTATAAATATTTAATATGTAAATTATGTATTTTAGATAGGAGTCTGGCTTGAGTGTCCTTGTGATACTGTGAGCCATAGAAATATGAAATGGATCACCAAAATTCCCAACATTTTTTTCAATTTTCAAGAAGATAACAAACATGTCGGCCACATGAAAAAGTTAGACTAAAACACCGTCCATAATTATTAAGATATTTTACAAAATTTACATTACATTTTGTTCTTTTATTTTTTTTTCAGCATTGATATTGACACTCTCGTGAAATATGACTAATTTGTTTGAGTTTCAATCAAGTATCATTAAAAGAATAGATCTTGCACTTGAACCACATTTGAAGGAAATTTTTGTCATGAGCATTTGTGCATACACATCAACTAATTATGAATGATGTAGACAAAGTAGCTGTTGAGTATATAATATAAGAAAAATTGTCAAATAAACCATTTAACTATTGATGAAATAGTAATTATACCTTTAAATTTTAAAAAGTTGAAATTAAACAATTGAACTCAATAAAATTATCTATCTAAGCGCTATTTACACGTTAATTATGAGTCATCTACAATATCATATTTATATTTGTACATTAGGAAACTTTTTGAGCAATTTCTGACTCCTAATCATATTTGAGTCACTATAAACTCTAATTTCACACTTCGAGTGTGTGAAGGCTCAAGACGAATAACTAAAACACTAGAATAACAATATATTTCTTTGTTTCTTAATTTATACTAAATTACTAAAGGTTGAGGGTCAAATAGGCCACTCAACTGCACACCAAAGTGCAATTAGGCCATTGAATTGAAGTAAAACAAAACAAAAATAAATAAATTAATTGAGTCCGTGAACAACACAAAATTATACAATTAGGTCTAAAATGACCTGTTTACCTTAAATTGTGCTGACGTGGTTGGTTACCCATTTTAAAAATAATTTTAAATAAAATAATTAATTAAAAGTCTCCGGCAGGCTTCGTCTCCATGGCCATAAGACGAAGGTTTGTCTCACTAGCCATGGAGACGAACATGGAGACGAAGTCACTTTGTCTCAATGGCCGGAGACGAAGGGATGGTCTCCAACCATGGAGACGAAGCCTTCGTCTCCGGCAGTTCTATTTTTCTAAAAAAAATTAATTAATTATTTTATTTAAAAATAGTTTTAAAATCAGTAGCTGTCATTTCATGTAAATAGATTAGACCTAATTGTATAGTTTTGTATTGTTCAGGGACCCAATTGTATCTTTTTTTAGTTCGAAAGTCTAATTGCACTTTGGTGTATAATTGGGTGGTCTATTGAACCCTTATTCCAATTACTAATACTAATAATGTTATCCTACTAAAATTACACTAACTGTAGAAGGTAATAGTATGATATACATAATAT